ACGTTCTGCCACGACAGACACGAACACCAGTGAGCCTCCACACCCGCCTCGCTACACGATCTGTTCTTTGGTATCTGGAGAAGAACATATTATATATATCGGCGCTACCAGCTTTAATAACGGATGCGACTTGAAAATAATTTGAGGCCGTCATCAATTCTTATTAAACCTCATTAGTATTTATGATTATTGTTAAAAGTAAAACGAAATCAAAGGAGAATAGAACTATGTTTGAATCTTGTTATAAATATGACGTCTGGATGCAAGACGGCAGAATGGGGATTTCAGAATTGATAATTACAGAGTTCAGTGAGTGTGAATCATTGAAGTAGGTATGTTGTTATGAAGAATCTTTGAGAAATACAGGAGCATTAAGAACAATTGAAGTTTCATTTTAAAATATCATGGACCATACTAGAAGAAGTGACCTTTGTAACGTCAGCGAGGCTGGCGTCCCTCTCTTTTAAAACCACGAATTTGTAATAAATCCGATATATACATAGTAATATATTATAAAATGACCGAGATATAATGATAGTTTTGACAACGTTACTAGATTGGTAATATGTACTTCATGATCACGAGCTTTGAATGTTTTCTGGATGTACCAGACCAGACTAGTTAATTTATGGAAAAAATACACGTGTTTACAAAATGAAATATGTATTGTAATTAACCATGAAATGAAGGTTGTTCTGTATATATAAATAGAATACTTATATTAAAGACAATGAGATCAAAAACAATACCAGTATTTACAATTAAGTTTTTCTTTTTTAATAAAAAACGCTTGAATAAAAAATCTTATGAACCCGCATCCGAAACATTGCGTTCAAATTATTTGGCAAACTAAACTATCGTGCTAGGTCGAATTCAAGTATGATTATATGACAATGTTACTGACCGGTTCCAACAGACTGAGTCCCCTGTTCAGATCGGCTCCTTTAACTCTATATGTGTTAGTGAACTGCGTCAGGTCCAGTACATCTAACACCGTAGCGTATATGTCGTGAGGTGTCGTCAATACTTCCACGTTCTCCTTCAGATTCTTCTCCGCCTCTGTTCTCCTCTTTTTCAGTTTTTCTGGAAGTCTGATCGCCATGAGCGGTATTTTCTCTTCGAGTTTCCCTTGGAGAGTATCAAGAACATTTGCGTACCTTATTTTATGTCAATAACTTTATTTATTGATATTTCTTGGGGATCTCTTTTACAATTCAAGTTTTAATTTTTTCCCAGATATGTAATGTAATATGACTAAAATTTTATATCAAAGAATGAGGGGAACTATTAAAACACGTATGATACTTTCTTGAAAAAATCTTTAAAACTAACAAAAAGTTAAAATTCGAGGCAATACAAGTATAGCGAAAGACAATTGATGAAAATAAATATAATGTTGTTTTTTTATAGGTTATTATTTGCCTTTTGTTTATTTCAATTAATTATAATATTTACCTCGTTCCATGGTCCCCCATGGCAATTATCAAGGTGTCCTCTCTACATCGGTCATGGAATCTTGTAAGATACTCCGCAGTGTCTTCATCAGCTATAGATATCACGTTGAAGTCATCATGGGATATGTCAACTATAAACGTGAACGCAAAACGTTTTCCGTCCAGACGGAGAAACTGAAAAGGGGACGAATGAAAAGATAAAACAGGAAAATAATATTAGACTTATAAAACTAAGCACCGTCAGAATAACTGAGTTATTGTATCAGATAAAATCTAAAATGTATAATTGTAGTAAGTATTTCAATATTCTATATACTTAATTGAAAAATTATGATGAACCAATCAAAAATATACCTTATTAAATAAAACTTAAAGAATAATTTCCTTGCACCTGATCAGTAATATCCAACATTAGTTTATACTCCGGAGTATCTCCACACAGTATTTGTTCAAGCTGCTCGTCCACCATTTCTTGCCACCGTTTGACTCCTCCATATAAAACGATAACAAGTAATGATCCGCGGGTTGCTTCTTGAAACCATTGAATCTGTACTGGAATGTTCCTATCCAGGGCGTGTCTTCGAAGAACGCTGTTCGGTAACTGAAATCATACGTATTATACTTACATCAAACAGATCTTTAAGCATCAGTAAGTTTGTGATGCATTTTGCTCGTTTGTAGCTAAAAATAATTTGCACTAGTCATATGGAATAAAGCTATAGATTAATCAATTGTCAAGAAACGAACTACAAAATAAAGAAGATTTAATGTATGATTAAGTAAATAATATCATTTTGAAAATCCAAAATCATTTAAATTTCTCTTAATAATATCTGTCTTAATTTTTCTTAGTATTAATGTTCATTTTTTAAGTGATTCATGAAGAGTGAATGATTACATTAAAATAAAGATTAAAAAGACTGACGCTTATTATATTTCCCCAAAATTAAGTCCACCCTATCCATCAAGTCTCACCCTTCATCCTTCAGCTTATAGAATATGAAGGGCATGTCGTCCAAGGTTCTGTTGTTCTTCATCTTCTTCCTCACGTCAGGCAGTTCCAACTCCGTCTTCCCCGTCAGGATCGGGAACAGGGCGGAGGGCGTCCCATCGCCTACTATGTTGTACCTTTAAATATGATATTTTTGAAATTTTCTAGTATTACTAATACTATTGGGGTCGGTATTTGGATTAGAATTCCTCAAGAGAAACGTAAGGTAACAAAATGGAAAGTTTTTTACCATTTTAGATTTTGTTTTCTTGGAAAATTTCTCATTAAAAAGATGCAGGTAAATTCAAGATAAACAGCAAAGAAAATTTGCCCTGTAATGTGTCATTCAAAATATCATATTGGTTGTTACATACCCATTCCAAATCGTGGCGCCCAATGTTTCCTTTAAAACTTTATAGCTCTTCGGCATTTTTCGTATGAATCCGTTTTTGGAGGTGGAGTCGAATCCCAGGATGAGCACGTTCAAGGAGTCACCTCTTTCTTTCGGATTGAGTTTTGCAAGAACAGTGGAACGGAAGCCAAGAGAGTGGCCGATCCATTTGGAAGGGAGTATACTGGAAAATCATGAAAACATTTGAAACATTTTGTTCAGATTTCCATTAGTAACAACTATTCAAAATTGTTACGTGACGTTTATACTAGGGAAAATAATCAAGACTTTTAAAAAATATGAGTAGCAAGTAACATATCTGAAAAATTACTAATCAAAAAAATATATAACTTGACCACAGTGAAAGATCTCAAGAAACAGCAGTAATAGATTATAAAAACTAAGACTAATCGATAGTCTTTCTGTTATCATGATTATTGAAAGTATTTTTCACTGCACTTTCTATTGCCTTTAACACATAATCTCACCTGTCTCTATGTTTCCCTGAACACTTAATCTTTACATGATCGCTCTTAGTGAGTACATATTCGTTATCACCTCTGACCTCTGTGGGAGGACCGATTGTATATTTTGACTATACATACTATATGTATACAGTATCCTTTGAATAAGAACAGGTTTCCAATAATCATACTAAACACCACCAAGGATTCATTCTGTGAGTTGAAAAATATTTTAATAACAGTATTAATTAACCAATGATTGTAACGGCGATGATATTAAAAATTTTGAAAGAACGTGGAAAGTAGCAACCAGTTCCATTTGATGAAAAACGTATTGGAGCAAAACAGCAAAGTCTTGTAGTATGAATCGCCATGAATCACTCAGTATCAAGCTGCGTGGTAATTTCATTTTCTGTAATTAGATATGGGAAACAGGATTTAAAGTTTTATATAAACATAATAAAATAGTTGGCAAAATATAAATAACTGAAAATTTATTTAATAAAAAATAGACCACACATTTCAAGATCACGTAATCATAGGACAAAAATAAGTTGCATCATTTTGAAAAAGTGCTCCTACGTTTGATCGATATTAGCCAAACATAGATAAGAACTACTGCGAAGTAATTGGCTTTCAGATTTAAAAAAAACATCGAAATTGGATGATCCCTTTGAGAGCTACCATTCCACATACAGACACACACGCAGCATCTACATACATCAATTTTATAACACCCCGCTTTTTGGGTCGGAGATTACATAACGAATATTATTTTTATAGTTTCAAATCATTTTCACTAAATTATGATATGATCGCGTCTTATTACTCAAACTTTCTTTTACACGTTTTTATACGCGTTAAATAAGTGACCAGTACTCATTAACGATCCGTGGACAATATCTAGTCTTAGACCCAGTTTCACCAATCAATGTTAAATAAGTAAAATCGTGTTAAGGCGTTTGATGCTCTATTAGATGTATCGAGCGTCCCACCACGCACAAATGTCCGTTTAAATGTCTTAACCAGCCACTAATATCAATTCCTGCTCTGGAGCTCCGTCTAATGGCTAACCGAATGTTAATGGCATTGTCAAAACTCAATTGTCCAATCACAGCCCTGATTTCTTGTAACCATAGTAACGTCATCTGTTTTGTCAGTTTGGACTATTTCCTTGTTATTATTAATAAAGTGAATTAAAAATTTCATTTAGTATGATGATTTTGCCTCCAGATTTTCTATGACATTGCAAATAAAATTTTCTTTTTATCTCGTATAATTTGAACACAATTTATGCCTATATTTATAACACAGTAACATTTAATACAATTTATTGACAGCACGATTTTGACAAGTTACACCTAGTAAATTGAAAAGAAAGCTTTTTGTGTACCAAATGTATGCAATCAACGATATACAAAATTTGTTCGCATTAGCTAGCAAGTGAGTATCGAGGAATATATATGATCAAAGTATAAAGATTTTATCCAGAGTTTCTATATTCTTAGTAAATTCTCGTACAAGTTTTTCTCGTTCGTGTTAAAGAAATTTATATGAGAATCGTGTTATATTTTTGTACCTACATATATTAAAGATTCATAACCGGAACTGGATTCAAATATTGTATTGTGTAAAGCTCAGTAGACGCTGCGAGGGTTAGACTCTGTTTGTTTTTAGATATAAGCAAGTTAGACGATCAGTTGGTCGATCAGTTGGACGATCAGTTGGTCGACCAGTTGGACGATCTGTTAGTCGATCAGTTGGTCGATCAGTTGGACAATCAGTTGGTCGACCAGTTGGACGATCAGTTGGACGATCAGTTGGTCGACCAGTTGGACGATCAGTTGGACGATCAGTTGGACGATCAGTTGGACGATCAGTTGGTCGACCAGTTGGACGATCTGTTAGTCGATCAGTTGGTCGATCAGTTGGACGATCAGTTGGTCGACCAGTTGGACGATCAGTTGGACGATCAGTTGGTCGACCAGTTGGACGATCAGTTGGACGATCAGTTGGACGATCAGTTGGACGATCAGTTGGTCGACCAGTTGGACGATCAGTTGGTCGATCAGTTGGTCGATCAGTTGGTCGACCAGTTGGACGATCAGTTGGACGATCAGTTGGTCGACCAGTTGGACGATCAGTTGGTCGACCAGTTGGACGATCAGTTGGACGACCAGTTGGTCGATCAGTTGGACGACCAGTTGGTCGATCAGTTGGACGACCAGTTGGACGATCAGTTGGTCGATCAGTTGGTCGACCAGTTGGACGATCAGTTGGACGATCAGTTGGTCGACCAGTTGGACGATCAGTTGGTCGACCAGTTGGACGATCAGTTGGACGACCAGTTGGTCGATCAGTTGGACGACCAGTTGGTCGATCAGTTGGACGATCAGTTGGACGATCAGGTGGTCGACCAGTTGGACGACGAGTTAAATATCAATAATATTCTAAATTTCATTTTAAACTATACGAGCAGTGCAGTCAGTATGCGGTACAATACAAAATTACGTGGAAATGTGTTTTACTCTAATCTGCATGTTCACTGTAAATGTACATTGTTTCTATTGAAATTGAATTATTAAGTCCAACTTATGTATTATGTAATACAAAGTTCATATTTATTTAATGGACTTTTGTTTTAATAGATGAAAACTAAGCTAATGTAATTATCCACAGCTACACCCCTAATTAAGGGATAAAAAGGGCTAGGAGAATAAACCACAACGCAACTCCAATGTGGTTTAGTGGGTTAGTACAATAGTGACATATTGGAACAAAATGTTCAAACTTATTCTTATTAAAATATACCCTTAAAATAAAATAACTTTTGCTCCCGTTAATGACGAGCCACTTGACCTGCAAGAAAACCTTCAAGTGTACTTGGAGAACCATTGGTTTGCTGAAATGTTCGATCAACAGAGAGTCGACAAGATTTTCTCAACGTAAGACATATTAATGTTTGCGCATATATTCCGACCCAACTAAAAAGCCTAATCAAAATGCTTAATTAGTTATCTTAGAAAAATAAAGGAAAGTTATATTTAATTAAGTTTTAAGCTTTCTAATCGTTGTAGTGTATGGCGTCAGGTTATCTCGCGTGTTAATGGATGCAAAATAGTTTTTCATGTTCTAATAAAAGATATATTCATTACTGTTCATGGTGAGACACGTAAAACATAACGAAAAGCAATATATATATATTTAGATTATACATAATTTTGTGATCTAATTAAAGCGACAATTAGTAAACAGTCCAATCAAAATTGTTAAATGTAATCTAATTACATATTTCCACAACATATAATATGTTTTAACATTTTAGATTAAAGACAAATCTCTTATGAGAAAATTCTACTCAATTTATGAAGGTATCAAGCATTGACAGAATATGTCTCAAATTTTAACGACGTTGTTCGTGAAGATAAGAAACTTGTTGGAAAATATTATTTCTGAAAACACGACATGGATTTTGAGAAATTTTGGTCTTGTTGTATCACAATGTTTATCTTGAGTGTAAATTGTGTTAGTACTTATAAGTTTAAAAGACTGAGACCTAATACTAACAAGTGTTTTCAGATATTCAGTCCCAGATTATTTTAGTCATAGTTTGAATAAACATTACAATTGAATACAAAGTTTAAATCATTGTTATATAATGTAGTAAATATTAGCTTTATATTCATAAAAATATCCGATTCATTTGAACAGTTTTGCTGAATAAGTAATGTATACATATAATATATCAAAATTCCATTCATAATATTAATAGTTGGATGGTTTTTGTTCAAATCAAAATCACGAAGATTTATGTAAAACTTGCTCATTCCCGGAAATAACACGACTAATAAAAGGTCCTAATATACCACATTACAGAGCAAAATCCATTTAAAGTCCGAGTCTTTAAAACTTAACAGGATCGTACTAGTCCGTAGTAAAGGATACAAACTATTGTTCACGAATGTCCCAGAATAATTTAGATTACTTAATGGGCAGGACATCACTAGTATCCACGCAGGGATTACGTTCTGCGGCCTCTGATATTTTAAGCTCTATGCACTTTTAAATATAAGTCATAAACGACGTATTTATTGGTATTAATTGGCAGTAAGTAGTATTATTTTATATATGTTTAAAGTCTAAGGATCTTTAATTAATCAATCGCATAATGCATAAAGTATTGTACAAGTATATAGACTGTACTATAAATAAAAATAAAAAAGAAAACAAAAGAGCATTTCTGTGATAAATTATTATAGTCTCAATTAAATTTAGAATTTTTAATATACTCCGCTATTAAATATTTAAAAAATATACTATTTTTATAGATATCATAAAAATATAAATACAAAAATATACTAACGCTGCTTATTTTTCTGCAGTATGTAAGAATACCGAGTAATTTCAAAGTTACGAAATAAACAGGAACCATAATATTTTACCACATACATTAAATTAATTGCAATATGTTATTTTTTATGAAAATGCGTATATTTTAGTATAAAAATCTGACTATTTTTGATATTGATATATGATCTTGAATATGAATACTAAGAATCTTAGAAGAATTAATTCAGGGATAGTAAAAAATTTAATCGGCTTAACTCCGCGAGAAAATTGTGGACCATCTGTGCGATAAACGTAGTTAAAAATCTTATCATTATTTTAAAACTTCCTAAAAGAATTGGCCACCTTAAAATATGGAAATAAATCCTATAGTTTTTTTATGATTTTTCAAGAATAAAACAATAAAATGATTAGATACAATAGAAGCGACCTTTTCATTATTCCATTTAACGCTATTTTATTTTCGTTTTGTATTTAAGAAGTATGTTTATTTAAGTACATAAACTTTACATTTAAGTCATATACCTATTGAGAACATTTGCTAATGATAACAAAATTGTAATGAGACCAAAGAAATTGTAGGCGTTACCAAAAATAAGTTAAGTAGCCTTCGTGTTTGAAGTAGATAAATGTAAAGTTTTGTAACAAAGAGATATATATAAATTTATATATAAAATATTCATCCATGTCCCTTTTAGTCCAGTTAAAGAGGCAATGCATCGAAATAAAGACTATTCACATTTTCTTTGACATTTTCAAAAGTCAAACAAAATAGATCCATTGAAGTATTGTCGCGAAAATTAAAAATATTTTTTTATGTCAACCTCTCAAATAAAACGGAATACTTTCCGATTTAAATTTAAAGGCAGCCTACAATTGAATAAAGGTACTGAATCAGCTTTAAAAATAACTATATATTCATATATTAAATTAAATGGTTTGCTTTTGTAAAAGTCTTTAACAATTTTTTTAAGCGAATGTCTAACAAAGAGCTATAATTTCATTCGACAAATTTCACACAAATTCTTACAATGATATGGGTTTACTATAATTTAAAAAAAAACTTTAAAATAAATCTAACGCCGGAAAAATATGAACAAAAATGATCTTTTATAATTGCTATTTAAACATTGAAAATATATGCATACACGAAACACCATTAAAAGTTTGGAAGAAGAAAAGATTTAAATTGATTTAAATTGATTATTAATTATAATTTATAGCTGATGGACACTCAATTTTAAAAGATATTTTTATTTATTTATTATAGCGAAAGTTCCCCGATAACTTGATTATGAATGCTATAAACTTTGTATGGATTCCGTGAGAATTTTCCGGTTCAATTTAATATTAAAATGACAGAAATAGAAATGGTGTAAGATGGTAAGGTATTTGAATTGCGTAAATATCCCCGGGACTTGCCTATATTACGGAAAACTCATTAAAATTAGATGAAATAAAGCGATTCCATTACAGAAACAATCGTCTTTGTAGTTGAGTTGTGCCTTTCGATGTTTCTACATCTTGTTCTCGTGATAGTTCATTTTTAGAAAATACAATGTTATGAGTTTGTTAACCAAAGCAACAGTCACATCTTTTTGCAGAAAGCTATGTATTATTCATATGTTTGCCAAACAAAAGGGGTGCCTAAAAAAGTCGCAGTATGAATTATTATCAAAAAATAAGCTGGCATCACTAAAGAATTGTGTTATAAATTTTTTGACATGCGACATTTCGATTTTATATTATAATATTAAGGAAAATAATTAATATTCTCTTACTCGTATTAAAATAGAGGAACAATCGTGTTCAACTCATCGGACTTACTTGACCATATAAGAAAAAAAATCCTAACAGATAGATTGCAAGTATTTTGAAGAATTCAAAATATTTTTCATAAAATACCAGAGCAGTTGATAGTAGATAAGATTATTACTTTTTAAATGTATATATCAGAACCTAAAATGTTAAATACTAAAACTGATCATTGCGGATAAGTTAGAACATATTGTAAAGTACAGAAATCTTAATGTACAGATAATTCAAAGAGGACGGAATTATCCAACATATAAAACCAATAAATTAAACTAATACCAAAAAAATATTAATTACTGTGTCTACCTATCATTAAACCCAGATTATAGATTCTAAGTCTCGATGTCAGCCTTAAAATAAGTTAACTCTACTCTAATTTACGAATTTTATTGCTTTGTTTATTGGTAAAAAAAACATTATAGTTTTACAATCATTTCTTGTTATTAAGAGTATAAAACTAATAACTAAAATATAACACAATAACTTGAGAATGTTGAGTTTAAAATAGATACATATTTACTATATTTAAAGTATCCCAACTTACTTTTAAATCACAGATAAATGTGCTAATAAGTAGCCACATATATATATGTATATAGGTATAGAATACATTTTGTACGTAATTACTTACTTTTATTAGTGGTCGTGTGATTCAATTCAACATCTAAAATAAAAGACTGTTGAATTTGAATCTGACTGGGAGTGAAGCAGTTGAGCAAAGTTTATATTGAGAGACACGGAACGGGAAGAACACGTCATTACATTACAGTCGGAATTGTGACTGTTTGGAGTTATTCTGGAACAGTCAAACAATTAAACCGTGTAACGTACGTTAGTCCCATAAACTACTAACTGGTTGCTAGCAATCATGGAGCCATATATACAGGATATAATTCATAATATTTTTTAGATTGAAATTCAAATTAATGAAATAAAATATTTAAAAAGAGGTGAAACAAAGAACGATGCAATCGCCTCGTGGTAATTTTAACCAGGCCATAGAATATTTATTTTGTTGAAGAATGTATGAAAGGCGAAGCCGCGATTTTAGACAGAAAAAATACAATATATTTTCACACCAACACAACTCATATTTATCCGAAACGAAAACCCGACAACAAATGCATTGGTACTCAAATTTGTGATCTAAGAGTTTCGCGAGTAATCATTTAAATGAAACTAATATTATTCGGATTTACTCGCGACGTCGAAATGTCACATCTTGTCTGTCCATGATCACGGGTGCTGAAATGTAACCGAAACGTCAAGAGTATGTAGTTTTTAAAATAATAAAATGCACGTAGTAATCCGACTAATATTAGTTTCATTTATTCAAATATGGTTTTAATTATCATTGATAATATCAAAATCCGTTTGTTCTAAGTAACACTATTTAGGTCGTAGTTTATTAACAGGACGTCTAACATTGAACGTCTCAATCTGTTTGTCAAGACAATTAGTAATAAGTAAACACCAATGGACATTCCATTGCTAATACCGATCCAGGATATTATGAATGTTGCATCTCT